AATCAAACCTCCTGTATTCGACGGCTCTACGTCATTCAATGTTTTCAAGTTACAGTTCGAGACAGTGGCTTCTAGAAATTCGTGGAACGACAGCGACAAAGCGGTTGCACTACTTCTGGCATTGAAGGGCAGTGCTGCTGATGTTATACAGAGTATTCCTGTCGCTTCTAGGAACAACTATGAAGATGTTATTGCTGCACTGGAACGTAAGTACGGTGGCGAACATAAACAAAACATCTACCTTATGGAACTAAGGGGAAAAGTACAGAGGGCAAACGAGACGCTACAAGACTTTGCAGCTGAGGTGGAACGTTTGGTGCTAATGGCGTATCCAGGAGAGAATCACCCATTGCTGGACCGTATGAAAATCGAAACCTTTGTGAATGGCATACGTGACCCTGAGATTAAATGTGCAACATATGCGTCACCAAAAGCGTCGTTTGCCGAAACTGTGTCGTTTGCCCTTGCCCAAGAGACGGCAAGAATAATTGTTAAGCCCCAGACCCACAAGATTCGCCAACTGGAGACCGAAGGTTGCGAACCCAAATCTCTCGTTAACTCGATCAAGGACGCCATGAAGCAGGTAATAGAAGAAACAAAGTTAGTAGGGATGACTAAGCCCAGGGTTAGATGCTACAACTGCGATAAAGCAGGTCATATTGCGCGCGAATGCAGAGCTAAGCGCAAACGATCCAGGTCATCGTCACCACCTCCAACGAAAGATGGTAGACGAATGGCTCAACAGTCCACCAATGAGTCACCGTTAAACTAAATCGAGCCAGTCCAGCGGGGCATGAACTGGCTCCCATCGACGATGGCCCCACAATCTCCATAGCAATAGTACAACAGAAAAGTCACAACCTAACAACAACTGGGTACATCAATGGTGACAAGCGAGTTCTGACGTTAGATACTGGCGCATCAAAGTCCATCATAAGATCAGATCTGGTAAAGGGAAACATAACGCAACTTAATGGAGTCAGACTGCGCACAGCAACGGGGGAGCCCGCGGCCGTACACGGCAAGATTACCCTGAGACTAACTATTGCCAATAAATCGGTGAATTACGATTTTATAGTTGCCGATATCGTAGACGAAGTGATAATAGGCGCAGATTTTATGATTGCCTTCGGTATCAATCTGGATATGAAAGAGCGTGTGATGACCTGGTCTAACGTCGAAATTCCGTTAAACGTGGGCTACGATGAAAGTACACCCATTAGACGTCTGACTACGGACCATCCAGAGATAATACCGCCCTGTGCCGAAGCAATAATATGGGTACCAATGAATGGAGATTGTGGAGCCGAGAAGTTGTGGGTGGTGGAACCAGCAGAAAACAGATACAGTAACATCCTAATAGCGAATGCCCTGGTGAAAAGCAACGAGGACGGATTGATTCCTGTTAGAGTTTTGAACCTGTCAAACAAGCAAGAGCAAATTTGTAAATTTTCCGAAGTTGGACAATGCACACCAGCTGAAGCTGTAGTTAATTTGGAAACTAGCACCGAAAAGCCAGCAGCCATGGAGAAGAAGCACCTCGACGGCTACATAAAAGAGTGGACACACCAATTATCACCTTCCGAGAGGAACAAGGCTAAGCAGCTATTATGGAAGTATGCCTCTACCTTTGCGTTGACAAAAGAGCACCAAGGAAGAACATCAGTGGTGAAGCATGAAATCAATACAGCAGACGCGCGACCCATTAAACAGCCTCCAAGAAGTGTTCCCCTGGCCAAAAGAGACGAGGTCCAGAAGCTGATAAGTGAAATGGAAAAGAGTGGTGTAATAGAACCATCGTCAAGTCCATGGTGCTCCCCAGTGGTCTTGGTCAAGAAGAAAGACGGAAGCACCCGGTTTTGTGTGGACTACCGAAAGTTAAATGATGTCACCAAGAAAGACAGCTATCCGCTCCCAAGAATCGACGACACATTGGACACATTAGCCGGGACGTCATGGTTCTCCACCCTCGACCTGCAGAGTGGGTACTGGCAAGTAGAGATCGCCGAGAAAGATAAGGAGAAAACAGCGTTTGGCGTTAATGGGGGTCTCTGGCAGTTCAATGTCATGCCATTCGGACTCTGCAACGCCCCGGCTACATTTGAAAGGCTGATGGAGCGTGTGTTAAAAGGGCTGCAGTGGAAGTCATGCCTCATATACCTGGATGACATCATAGTCATGGGACGCAACTTCGACGAACACATCAAGAATTTAAAGGATGTTCTTCAGCAGCTTTCGTCTTCAGGCCTCAAGCTGAACCCAAAGAAGTGCAGTCTCTTCCAACGAGAGGTGAAGTTCCTGGGGCATCACGTGACGCCGGAGGGCATATCGACGGATAAGGAGAAAATTCAAGCCGTCAGAGATTGGCCGCAGCCCCGAAATCTCCATGAGCTGCGAAGCTTTCTGGGTCTCTGCACCTACTACCGTCGATTTGTCCCAAATTTTGCCAACATCGCCGCCTGTCTACACCGCTTAACGCAAAAAGGCCAGAGGTTCCAGTGGGGCAACGACCAAGAAGAGGCGTTCAGTAAACTCAAAGACATGCTATGTAGAGCCCCCATTTTGGCATACCCTATACCTGGCGGAAAGTTTGCTCTGGACACAGACGCAAGTGCGTGCGGCATCGGTGGCGTCCTTTCCCAGGAAATCGACGGACAGGAAAAAGTCATCGGGTACTACAGCCGGACATTGTCGAAGCCTGAGAGGAATTACTGTGTGACGAGGAGAGAGCTGCTTGCTGCCCTTGAGAGCGTTAAACACTTCCACAAATACCTATATGGCCAGCATTTCCTGCTGAGGACCGACCACGCTGCTCTCCAATGGTTGCTGCGGTTTAAGAATCCGGAAGGTCAACTAGCCCGTTGGATCGAGAGGCTCCAGAGTTATGATTTCAGAATCGAGCACAGAAAAGGCGGAAAACACGGTAATGCTGATGCCCTGTCTCGTCGGCCATGCAAGGTAGAATGCAGGCATTGCTCAAAGGCTGAGAATAAGGAGAATATCGTTGATGTCCGACTATTGCAGTTTGAGTCGGGTGAAGATTGGTCGACGGAACAACGAAGAGATCCCATTCTGGGCAAAGTAATTTCGGCCATTGAAACGGGCAAGCGACCTAGTCGTAAAGAAATTACCTCCGAAAGCCCTCTTTTAAAATCCTATTGGGCCCAGTGGGACAGTCTACTTATAAAAGATGGCTGCCTATATCGCAAATGGGAAAGTGAGGACGGTAAATCTCACCGGAACTTGATCGTCGTCCCAGACTCCAAAATAAGAGATGTCTTGTCGGAGTTTCACGATGGGCCAAGTGGAGGACACCTTGGCATAGCAAAGACCGCTGAAAAGGTAAAGCAGAGATTCTACTGGGTCGGCTGTCAAAAATCCATTGCCGACTGGATCGCCAATTGTGAAAGGTGCATAAAAGCTAAAGGTCCAACACGGAAGAGTCGAGGCTACATGCAGCAGTATAATTCAGGAGCCCCTTTTGAAAGAATCGCAATGGATGTAGCTGGACCGTTCCCAACAAGCGACTCTGGGAACCGGTATGTCTTAGTGGTCATGGATTACTTCAGTAAATGGCCAGAGGTTTATGCTATCCCAAATCAAGAAGCCAGGACAATTGTGGATGTGTTCAGCAAAAATTGGATTTGTCGCTATGGTGTTCCATCTGAGGTTCATTCCGATCAAGGTAGGAATTTTGAATCGGCGATCTTCAAGGAAATGTGTGACTCCTACGGAATCAAGAAAACCAGAACGACGCCCCTACATCCACAATCAGATGGCATGGTGGAAAGATTCAATCGCACCCTTGAAGAACATCTACGGAAAGTGGTGGACAGCGGTCAACGAGACTGGGATGAGCATATTCCCAAGTTTTTGCTGGCTTATAGATCGGCCATTCATGATTCCACATCCCGGACCCCAGCCAAAGTTCTGTTCGGAAATGAATTAAAGCTACCTGGCGATTTGATATTCGGTGCTGCCCCAAACGACGATGTGAACCAAGATGAAGACAGTCAAAACTCTTTTAGCAAAGTCCACGATGCAGTTCGCCATCGAATAAAAATGGTTAGCAACCGCATGAAGGCAAGGTACGATCGAGCGGCAAATACCGATGGGTTTCAAGAAGGGCAACTGGTACTATTGTTCAACCCACAACGGAAGAAAGGACTTTGCCCCAAATTGCAAACGCACTGGGAAGGACCCTACAAGATTGTCACGAAAATAAATGACGTCGTTTATCGCATCCAGAGGAGCGACAGTCCCAGGTCGAAGATGAAAGTTGTACATTTGGAGCGGTTGACCCCCTACGGAACGGGAACTGTGCCTATTCGGGACGAACAGGCTTAAGCGGGGGGCAATGTTACGAATATAACTTTAGATTTAAGTTAATTTAGATGAATTCCGTTAATTTAAGAATTTGAATTGTAACGTAAATTTCTACTACGCAGTTTATTTGAATAACTTCACAACAACAACTACTGTATAGATTTTTCTACATCCTTCCATTTCCTCTTTCATTTTCTATTTTGTTATTGTCGTACAATTCTTGTTAAACGTCATTCCTCTTTCTTTGCTATTCCCTCGCCTGTATATGTGTTGTTGTTATTGTAAGTTTGTTTACTCAAGTTTGTTGTTGTTATTGTTCACTCAGTAAGTTTGTTGTTGTTATTGTTACTCAATGTGTTTGTTGCATTGGTAGATTGTTCGTGATCTAGGTGTTACCAGATCATCTAGAAACTTCTGTAGCGACAGGCAGGGCTCATATAAATAGAGGGAATGGAAAGGCAGTGAGTCAGTTGTGAATCAGATCGCGAATTGAAACCGTCGTGTAAAGTAAAGTGCAAAGTAAAGTTGTGTGAATAAAATCATTGTAATAATCGTAATCTGAAAGAACCCGCGTTTTATTTGGTACGAGTTGTATCGGGAAATAAAACAACGTCTACACGGGATTTAGTAAAACCCAAGAACGTAACAATATTTTTTAATTATTTGTTTTTTTTTTTATTTTTAGGGCACCTCAAAACGTGGTCTTGGCCCAGCACAAATTGCAGTCATGATGAGAAATCTAATGTTACGTCTGGGATATAAGAAATTCTTTATTCAAGGCACTGATTGGGGTTCTATAATCGGGTCACACATTGCCACACTATTCCCTGAAAATGTTCTTGGCTACCACTCTAACATGTGTACCGTCTCGAGTCCCAAATCAATGATTAAAGGTCTAATAGCTGGTTCTTTCCCTGGCATCTTTGCACCTAAAGGATATGAAGACTTCTTTTCTCCGGTATCGGAAAAAATACACTTTCTCCTAGAAGAAACAGGTTATGCTCATTTACATTCAACAAAACCCGATACAATTGGTACCGCCTTACATGACAATCCAGTTGGTTTAGCGGCCTATATACTTGAAAAATTCTCAACATGGACAAATGCTACCTATCGTCATCTGCCCGATGGCGGACTTAAGAAACGTTATAAATTGGATGCCCTACTGGATAATGTTATGATTTATTATCTAACAAACTCGATTACGACATCGATGCGCATTTACAAAGAAGCAGTAACGGAGGAACAACGGGCTCTAAAACTGGATCGTGTTCCCACGAATGTACCGACAGCATGTGCCCGCTTCAAAAACGAAATGATGCATTTCATGGATCTGCAGCTGAAGGATAAATATAAAAATTTAATACAAAGTACCTACTACAAGGAGGGTGGTCATTTTGCTGCCATGGAAGTGTCTGATATTGTCTATAAAGATTTTATAGAATTTGTTAAAAAAGTAGAAAAAATTAAGAAAATTACTGGATACAAAAGAGAATTGTAAAATAATTACATATTAAATTACTTAATTGTCTTTTTTGTTCCACGAATTTTTTAATATAAAGGAATTATTTTTTTTTTAATTTAAAAATGTTTTTTTCACTATATTACAATGCCACAAGTTGAACTGCGAAAGAGAAGTTATTATGATTCTTAATGATTTTGAAGCTCTGTTTGCCCAAAAAAAAACTCTAGTAGTCGATTTGTATAATCCTCCCTGGATACCAATAATTTATCATTAAAGAAATTTAGCAATGCAAGAAAAATATGACAATATTGCAATATTCTTCTGGTATAAATAAAACGATCGACTAAAAATCTTTTAAAATCCAATTAAAAACACAACAATGTTTCACTTTAAATAAAAAATCTTACCACAACTCAACTACTGTCATAAAATACCACAATAGCATCAGTAGTAAAATTAATTTATGGTGTGTCATACGTTGACAAATCATCATTCTGTGCAATTCGCATTGAATAAAAACCACAGATCAATATATACACAGTCATTAGACCCGATGTAATATTTTATTCAGATTACATAATAATAGCTGTGTCTGGTTACTTTTCCTGTAACATTTACTCGGTAAGTTCTATTTCAGAGAGTAATCCGATTTTATTGTAAACAGTAAACATACAACATCCATTAAGATTTTTGCGAAATATCTCGTAATTTAATTTAAAATTCTCGAAATGTTCTTTTTAGACATATTAAGTATAAAATTGATAAAATAAAAAATGTTTGTTGACTTTTGTCAAAATGTAAAATTAAAGATTGATTAAAATACATCGAATTGTGCTGGATAACACATTTCTCGATGACGTTATCTTTGACGGTTTCAGGACCCTTTACAAATATTAGAATAGAATTGATTTGTCAGAAACAGTAATGTATTATACATACATACGTGAAAAACTTCGAAACCTAGCACAGAAATTTGAAGCCATATTAAATCTACAAAAAATGTTCATATTTGTTGGGTACATGCAAACTGTAATATAAATGGAATTGAAAACGCAGATGTCTAAGGACATTAATGGAATGAGATTATTATTTTTGCTCTATCGCTTGGTAAAAAATTCTCACATAGTCGCCTAAATCAAGTAATTATGGCTTTGGATGAGGACAGATAGGATAAAAGAGAAAATTTGTTCACTTTCTTGTTCGCAAAATATACAATAAACAAATGAATTCGTTCTCATTTATTTTAATTCTTATTCATAAACTAGAAAACCGATATAATAAAACTTTTGATGTGTGACCCTCGGTGTTACTATATTCTTCATAATTCAAATACATGAGGATCGCAACTTAAATCAACAATATTCACATATCACAGAAAAAATGTAAAATATATAAAATTAACTGGTATACGGAGCTTTAAGCGCATAATATATATACTGGTGGCCAAAACTAAACCAACTAAAATTGCAAACTGAATAAATGTACTGAAACTTTTTTTAATAACTTTACAGTGAACGTTTTTCAGAAATAAATAGGTAATTTATTCACTTATAAAAAAACAAAAACACTAAATACAAAATTTATTTTGAAATAAAAAATGTTCTATAGAAAACTAAATTGACCCAATTTGTGCTGGGTCAAAACTAATTCAACTTTTTATTATTATTCTTTTAAGGGAACCCCCCCCCCCATTCTCGATTTGAATTTTTTTAGATTTTCAATGGGCTGGTAAATCAATACCAATGCTTGTTAAGGTTTGTAACTTTGCACATATATAATTGAAGATTTAAAAAAGAAGAAAAATAATTTACAAAAAATTTTTGTTATTGTTTTGTTGTTTTTTGTAATTAAAGAAAAGTCCTTATTTTTGATGGCGGGCATTATAACTCCTCACTGGAACATCGGAATCCGAAAATTCCAACGGTGTTAGAAAGAGTACATGTCTGGCTCTCGTATGAACTAGGATTATTGACTTCGCTCTAAAATTAACAAAATGGTGGACCTTTGAAAAAATATTTTTGGAAAATCGCCGATTTTTGACCAAAAACCAAATTAAAAAATAAGGAAGATCTTCACCGATTGGCTTTATCCTAGTTCATACGAGAGCTATACACTCCCAGAGAAACGATGCAAAATTTGGAACCGATTGGATTATTAGTTTTTGAGTTATCGTGCCCACCATTCGCAAAAAAATGTTTAGAGAAAAACGCGTTTAAAGTTTGAGAAACCCTTTAGCCGTCACTTGATGCTGACACACTAAATCGGATATATCTTCAACAGTTCTTGAGATTTTCACTTGAAATTTTGTAGAGACATTCTTTAATCAGTGTAGATTCGAATTATATCAACAAAAATTTTGACCCCGAGAATGGGGGGGGGGGGGGGGGGTAATCGACATCAGCTCTGTCTGTTTACTCGATATTTGGTAACAATTGTTACCAAATATTACTAAATGTTGTCTGTTTACACAAAACTCCAGTAAAAGAGAGTCAAGTGAGAGAGCAAGTTTGACAGTTAAACAACAACAAACTTACTGGAGTTTACTGAAAGAATTTTATCCAGTAAGATTTTGCAAACTCAGCTGTTTTATGACCAAACACAAAAATGATTCAAAACATTTTTTTTAATTTGCAAAGTTCAATTTGAATTTAAGTTGTATAAAAATTGCTGTATTTTGAAGAAAATTCGTAAGTAATGCAAAGTTTCATTAAATTAGAAACTAATTCCTTATATATTTTTAGGCAAGTTCCAGATGAGGGCAAGTTATTGATGCAGGAAGCTTAAATGTTCCCGGCGAACATACCAAATCAATTTTTCTTTTATTGTTCATTTTATTTTTAATATTAAATGCAATACAAATAATTCGTTTGTCCTTTGTTTGTTGTTTATTTTGGCGCAAATCAAATGTTTTCTTGAATCAGCTGTTTATTTGCTAAATCTTACTAAATGTTGTCTGTTTACTTTTCTCAGTATTATCGCAAAAGAGAGTAAAAAAGGCTTACTCTCTGAGCTAGAAATTACTGAATAAATGTTACTGGAAAAGTAACCAGACCAGAGTTGAACAAAACTAAATTGAGAGTAAGTATGTGAGAGCGTAGCTGAGAGATAATCAACAAAAATGACTGACGAAAAGAGACAAAAAGAGAATAAGTGTTTAGCAATCACCGCTATCGTACTATTTTGTGCATTAGTGAACCAGACACACCTATCGTAACCATTATTTGATTACGGCACTTATTATTCCTCTCATCTTAAACCTTTGGGAATAGGTTATGTTTGTTCGTTAGTGAATCCCTTTTGATTTTGCTATATATAATGCTCTAATGATTTTTCTATAGGGTAAATATTTGATGATTGTGTTGGCCTGATTTTTGACTACCGTAACCAACCTTTACATGTTATCGTGTACATATATTTGGAGGTTACTGACAATCTGAAACACCCAAACCAGCGGAGGGAGCCAAAGTGTTTCCCAGCACATTTGTATAAACAATCCGATGCATTACTTCACAAATCTCGTAAAAAGATCGAATTCCATAGAAAAAAAAGAGCATAATATTTCTCCACTGTGTCGAATTCCAATTAATACAGTATTTTTCGGTTAATTGACCCTACGGTTAATTGGTTTCCACGATTAATTGAACCACATGATGGGGCAAAAAATATTTCATAGGAAAATACATGTAAATTTTCTCGGATAATTAAACCCTGTTAATTGATTTTCCCGCTTAATTGGTTTAAAATTCATGTCATCAAAAATAAATTCCCTTTTACTTTTCACCGGTTAATTGCATAATAATAATTGAAAAACTAATCTGCCAATTTTTAACATACATGTTTGACATAATTTGTGAAAAAGACTATGTGGCATCTCTACTAACTCAAAACATATGTTTATTGCTAAGGAAAAACTGCGAGAAAGCGTAATTTGTATTTAATATTGGATTTTTTAAATCATTAGTAGTTCCTATTATACATGATTACTCTTATTGAACAAAATATTCAATTAAGCGAGTTCGGATAATTGGTTCCTCGGTTAATTGAACAAAAATTTGTGGAAATTTTGATGTGCAATTAACCGAAAAATACTGTATGAGCTTTTACGAAAGGCAATCTGGTTTTCGCTTATTTTCAGAATAAAATAACTTTATTAATAGTTTCAGGGCATGTAGTCCTGCTATCATATCTGTTGAAGTTATATCCAACGATAATCGTCACTAAAATTCCGTTGAACTCTTAAATGGGTATTTTTACTACTATGACAATTTGTTGATCAGTACGAACTGACGTCCTTTTGCGACTTCGTTCTGAACTGCCAATACTGATATTTCATAAAACCGACTTATAAATTGGGAAATTACTGATTTATTCATGAAATATTTCTCCGACATCATTTTCTGTGATAAATTATAGAAATGGGTGTAGAAAGCAAAACATAGTAATTATAACGGTTAAAATAACTACAATTTTAGAGATCATCTGTTTGTACTGTAGAGTTGCTTAAGTATTGTCCAAGCGAAAATTGAGGCAATTCCCTTATCCATAAAAATTACACTGTGCAACACAAAAAATAATTACAGGGAAATTCCAACAGATTATGAAAGAGGGACTAAAAAAAGAAGACACGTGTATCGGCGTTTTGAAAGTTTACGTCGGGAGGTAGCATAAAAAGTGGGGGCAATATTCCCCCTTTTCAAGAATTTTAATAATTTTCGAATTATGATTTCTTGAAATCCTTGCATTTTAGGTATATAGTGTCTTCGGCAATATTACTGACAAAATATCGAGAAATATGTTGGTATGCATCTTTAACCCTCAACCGACTCATTTAAGGCGTCTTTTCGGTCCCCTTTTCCAGGAGTGATTGAAAACTCATTCTAAACGGGGTTAAAACTGCTCAAAATGCTCATGTTACTTCAATGCACTTAGTCCAAAAAATACTGGGAAATGTCTTTGACAAAAAAATACAAGAATATTTTGAATTTTTGGTTCAAAATGTATGACTATATATTCGGTATATACATTATATATACAGA